ACATGCAACAGTACCTGTTGCACACCTACCGATTAGAACACTCGAGGAGGCTAATCCCTCTCAAGGATTGCGCGGGGCACCTAAAATGTGCAACTTTACCTAGCGTTTCAACGCTCGACCAAGCCAATGCCTGTGAAGGGTTGCGCGGGCACCGCAAAATGTGTAACTTTACCTCGCGTTCGAACACTCGACAACGCCAATCTGTGTGAAGGGTTGCATAATTCATCTGAATGCACATCAAAAATTGCAACTTTACCTCGCGTTCGAACGCTCGACCACGCCAATCCCTGTGAAGGGTTGCCAAATTCATCTCAATGCACATAAACAAATGCAACTTTACCTAGCGTTCGAACACTCGACCACGCCAATCCCTGTGAGGGGTTGCAAAATTCATTTCAATGCACATCAAAAAATGCAACTTTACCTAGCGTTCGTGCATTCGACTATGCCAATCCTTGTGAAAGGTTGCAAAATGCCAATCCCTGTGAAAGGTTGCAAAGTTGAGCTGCACCCAAACCCTGTGAAGGGTTGCGCGGCGCCCACAAAATGTGTAACTTTACCTCGCGTTTGAACGCCCGAGGAGGCGAATCCCTGTGAAGGGTTGCGCGGCGCCCGCAAAATGTGTAACTTTACCTCGCTTTTGAACGCCCGAGGAGGCGAATCCCTGTGAATGGTTGCGCGGCGCCCGAAAAATGTGTAACTTTACCTCACGTTTGAACGCCCGAGGAGGCGAATCCCTGTGAATGGTTGCGCCCGCCTAAAATGTGTAACTTTACCTCGCGTTTGAACGCCCCAAAAGCGAATCCCTGTGAAAGGTTGCGCCGCGCGCCTAAAATGTGTAACTTTACCTCGCGTTTGAGCGCCCGAGGAGGCGAATCCCTGTGAAGGGTTGCGCGGGCATAGCAAAATGTGTAACTTTACCTCGCTTTTGAGCGCTCGAAGTGGCCAATCCGTGTGAAAGGTTGCATTCCCGATGGACGACGACGGTGCCACCCCTGGCTTTAGAAGAGAGATTAGATACCGAGATGTAGAGAGTAAGTCATAGAGGCATAGAGAGTCAGTCATAGAGGCATAGAGTCAAGTAAGTAAGTAAGTAAGTACGTAAGTATAGAGTTCGAATTCAGTAACTAAGTAAGTTTCAAGTGCTATGAGCTTGAACAGAGATAGCATAGAGTCAAGTATCAAGTGTAGAGTCAAGTAAGGTAAAGAGTCAAGTAAGTTGATTCTATGTCTGTCATCTATGTACTCATCTACCCGGCTCCGCACGGAAGAACCCTTCACGATGCTTTCGGGAAAACCCTAAAACCCTAAACCTCAAAGCAAGACCTTGAATCCGTGAACTCTCCAGCCCCTTACACCCTTGAACCCTCAAACCCTCAAGCCCTAAGACCCTCTATCGTTGAACCCTCCAACCCTAACGCCCTAAATCCTCAAACCCGCGAACCCTCAAACCCTTAAGCCCTGAGACCCTCAATCCTTGAACCCTCCAACCCTAACGCCCTAAGCCCCCTGCCGCCCCTCGTTGGCCTTGTGGGGCAAAATTGAAGGCAGTTGCTGCTACTGCTGTTTTGTCTGATGTGTCGCTGATCTTGATGTTGCTGCTTGCTGTTGCTTGCTTGTTCTTGATGTTGCTGTTTGCTGTTGCTTGCTTGTGGTGAGCCCCAAGGCTGCGAGGCCCAGGCAGAAACCCACAAAAGTAAAAAATCTCCCAGAAGCCCACCCAGAAAAGGTACGTAAATGTTTTTACATAAATGGCTGCAGGGAATACAAGCAAGGCAATGTCACGTTCATGTGCAAGAATGCAACAACAACAACAACAACATGGTGCTGACTGTGGTCATAGCAAGTGGCAAGTTCTTCATCCATGCTCTTAAAGTGGGGACCCACATCTTCAATTGTGATGATGTGATGGTACAGCTTTGCTGTGTAGTATGGCTGCTGTAAGCAGCAAGCATGCATTGAATTATCAACTCAGCTGTGGTACTCATGGAGTTCGAGATCTCTTTCTCTTGTTGCATGTAGGCGTTATCGTAGTCGAGTCTGCATCCTGTGTGGTGGTAGTAGGGGATGCTGCACACCGATCAAGTTGTTGTGAGTGGTTGCGTATCTACTCCTGAGAAGCAATGAAGTATTCTCGCCACCATGAAGATCCGTTAGTGGCCCAATGCCATCTCCATTCTGACGCGCGTGGAGATCTTGATCTAGTGCGTCGGTCCATGATAATAACACAACAGGTTGTAAGCTAAATGGCTGCGGTCAGTGATATGTGAATGTTCAATGGCAGAATGTCATGCATATAGCTTGCAGTTGCTCGCAGTACAGAATGTAATGAGTGCGGCTTGCAGTTGTTTTCAACGTAGATGACAAGGTAACGCACATATTCCAAGTCTGCTGGCTTTCTTTACGGCTTTATCAGAGCTTCGAGTCGTTCGACTCGGTCCTTCAGCTCTGAAATTAGCCTGTTTGTTTGAGTGATAAACTCGGCCAACTGATCACGGAATGCCCAGTCGCTAAAGGTGGAGACTTCACTGCCGGTGTCGGAGCCGTGCTCTCGGCGTTCTGTCAAAATCTCCAAGAGCGCTTGGGTGAGAGCCTCACGTCGTGCCTCATCCATAACATGTGGAGCTGTAGTTGTTGTCTCTGTCGGATTGGATGCATCATTCATGGCTCCAAGGTTGAGGGGAAGCGTTGTGCAACTGAGGCTAAAGCTGACATCAAAAATACAAGTGGCTGGCTGTGTGATGCACTTGCACAATCAGAGTAGGGCAACTTTTTCATAGCACCTCGCATGGATCCACACCTACGACCAGTCTGGCGTGTCCTGCCTCATTAGGCTCTCGAGAATATCAAGTTGCTGTGGATGTGTTGCAAATGGATGCATAGCTTGCTGCCTGATGAGGCTTCTTGTTGTTTTTGTCTGCTTTTGCCACGGTGGACCCTGTGTGTAGGGTCTTTCTGGGAGTGATCGATGTAGAAATGGTTGGAGTGCAGTGGATTTTTCTCTCGATACCATCTGGCAAGTATGCTGTATGCTGAGAGAAAACGGCTCTTGTCCACTGATGTGAAGAAGCCTGCCAAGTCCTGATTGTACAGGACATATTCCGTTGTGTCCCGCAGCTTTTGTCGTTGTTTCACAAAAAGTGCTGTTTGCTTGAGCTGGGTGATGCCATCTCCCTGATGAAATGAATCTGGACATGCCTGATATGTCATCAACTGTAAGACGTCAGCCAGTGCTTCCCAGAGTTTTCTGCCCATGGTGTCAATAAACGCCACTATGGGGCGGCCTGTTGCGAATTGCTTTTTGCGCTTGGGTTCGGGTCGTGCTCCCGCCCCTTGTCCACGCCCTCCCCCGCGCACCGTCCGCGCACGCGCTCCCGCCCCTTGTCCAATGCCCTTCCCCGCGCACCCGATATCGCGCTCTCGCCCCTTGTCCCCGCCCTCCCCCGCACACCGTCCGCGAACCCGATATCGCGCGCTCCCGTCCTCGCCCTCTCCCGCGCACCGTCCGGGCACCTGATGTCAAGGCCCGTCCATCGTTTAGTCTTTTTGCAGCTCTTCCGTTAAGACAGGGCCCGATATCGCGCACCTCGCGTTGGAGCACCAGCCCCAGATTTTCGGAAACAATTGTTCAAGAAATTGCACAAATTTCAAATAAGTAAAAACAATTGTCAAAACAATTATCAAAGCCAAAACAATTGTCAGGGAAATGTGCGGGACTACGAAACTTCTTCAATACATTCAAGAAATGTGGGTATCAATCTGAGTACCCACGGCGATGTGGCCTGACGGGGGCGCAGGCTCATCGCGCGGCTCGTCCCAGAAAGGCGGGCGCCAGGATCTGCCCGAGTGGGGGGCATCAATCGCCATGCCCGTCGCAGGCAAACCCTCCAACAAGGACGCTAGTAGATGCTAGTAGTAGGCGGGGAAGACGACGAAGGAAGCCCCACCATGTCCAGCCCGGCCGCCGCCAAGAAATCGGCGAGCTCAGCGCTAGCGGCAGGCGAGGAGGATGCCATGTCAGCGACGAGAGGCGAAAGGCGAAAGAAGAGGAAGTCGAAAAGGCGATCCAGCCGAGAATCTTCGGACGATCGCAAACGCTGGTTCCTACTCACACACGTGTGTTACACATAAATGAGTTCTCTATCTGATAGCACCAGCTACAGAAATCAATGGGCTTATATCACTCCGCTAAAATACTTTTCTAAACTCCTGCATTAAATTACATTATAGCCTCCGGATCCTTGACCGACGGAAGAATCCTTGTGAACGATCCGGTTCTTGCCTCTTGATCCATCTCACACTTCCCCCATCAACTGCTCAAGTGCCTAACTCCCAAAATGTTAAATGTCCCATGCGTGCGCAATCCTCCCGGCGGCTGAAGCCAGATGATTGAAACACCGTGCCGCATGCCGAAACAAGGCTCGCGAGAATCGGTGAGCCATGGCACCGTTGTGCAACACGACACCCTGCAGGTTGACTTGCCGCAACTATCGATGCTGGACTTCATGCCGCCCAGTGACAAGGGGAAGTGGGGTGGAACTGCAATCATGATCACACAAGGCGAGGTCAAATCCGCCCGAGCCCCTAGGCTGGGGGCACTAGACCGGGACTAGAAACTCTCGTCGTGAATGCGAGCCGTGATGAGCCTTAACAGGAATGCTGCAAATATCTGCCAAAATGTGCTGCCGGTAGTGACGAGCAATCTATAGCTTGTCTCACGGTTGCAAGTCCAAGCATTGCAGACGCTAGCAAGGCGCCAAGCTCAACAGATCTCAACAGTGAAGCCTCAAACCTCAGGCATGAACCGCCAAGATCTGATATACCTACATGCCAACTTCCAACCACTGCACGCCCATTCAAAGCCTTTCTGCCATCCTGCGGAATCCGGAGAAGCTTCAGCAAGCAACTTAGTGTGTTTTATGCTACTCACAGCTGCGGTGTTAGCGGCTGGAAGTACAGCATGTAAGGCTTGCGCAACACCATGTGTGGGACGCGCTGGTTCATGCCGAAGAGTTCAAGCCCACTGTCTCCAAGTACTGGCCATAACACCTCTCCCCGCTGGTGTGGCACAAGCACTCTGCTGCAGCGCTCAGGTCCAACAGTCCGCCATCCGACGCGAAGACAAAGTACTCCCAGGCAGCCACCATCACGACCAACACCGCCAAATACCTAACAGGACGCCATTTGCCAGTATATTCCTGCAAGGACAAGCAAAATGCACATCAAGTCCAGAGAACTCATGAACATGTTGTCTTCACCGGGTTGAACACACCCTTTTCCCCCGGCCCAACCAATCTCTAACTGCAGGATATTGAAATTGTGAGCGAAACCAGCTGTATATGCTGCAATTCTATACACCAATCACACGGGATAGCGATGAGCATCCACCAACATGTCCATCAGGCACTTGGAGCAGCCAACACCTCCCAAACCTTCCGCATCCCTGATCTGAGCCACTGCACCAGTGCAAGGTTGTTTGCGTCACCCCCCCCCCACCAACCCACTCATCCCGTCCGCTCACACCCCAAAGTCAACAGCACTGAAATGGTCCCGATAGGACTAAAGATATGGCTGGTGGTCCCTGAGTTGCGGAAGCATCGGACAGTCAGGGACGCATGTTGGGTTGCATGCAATTTGCGATGGGAGGGACAATTTGCATAATTAGTCAGGACTCCCGCGTACCTCTCAAGCACGAGGAGTGCATCGAAGACAGAGATTTGACAAACCATGAACTGCTGACAATCCACCATGGCACTGTGCAACCCGTCCTTGCAATCGCAATGCAGGGGAGCGCAGTTGCCGGTGACTGCGCGCTCCAAGGTCAATCCAAAGAAGGCGCGGTGGAGCATGTTGTCCACTTCAACGAGAAACCCCAAAGCGGTACCGTTGAGAATGATGTCAAGTAGTTCATTGGAGCGAGATAGAAGCAGCACACCAGCAGTGCCAACGGCAATGGCAATGGCTCCCCGAACAGCACACACACAAAGAGCAAAGACTTTGTGCGGTTTTGGAAACTTGCGCACTTCCATTCTGCCGTCTTCGCCAGTCGTGGCAAAATCAGCTGCATGGCAACTATCTGAAGTCTCGGTACCATAAATGACAATCCAAAAGTTGTTGATGGCCCGGTACTCCTCCAGCATCAGCATGCCCCAAATGAACAGAACGAGGAACAACAGGATCGTGAAAGAGGTCGTGACAATGTCCCCTTGGTATTGGCCAACCAAGTCATACGTTGTTGTCCAAACACCACGAGCGAGGAAATGGTGTTTGGCTTGGCCACAGTATCTCTTCTTGTAGAAAGTGTAGTCATCATAGCTGTCTCCCCAAAATATGTATGCACAAAAGTTTTTGAAGATCCGAATGCACTCATGATAACGCTCTTTGATGTTCTTCTCTGGATACGAAGTGTTTAACACACCCTTGCTAACCAAGCTTCCGCAAACTGAGGAGTCCGACGCGACGCAGATTCTGATATGGTCTTTGTATTGCTCCAGGAAATGTATGTCCAAGCGGTCATCATAACCTTGGTTATGCAACACTTCCTTGTTGTACTGCATCATGTTTCTCAAGGTCTCCTCATAGATCCCGACGTGACATATCCCTTCCTCCGTCGCGCCGTAGCCCAACTCCTCCATTTTTATGTCGAGAGCTTTGGCCTGCTCAATCGTCCAATACCTGGACTCTTTCGTGCCGAGGAGCTCCGGGTTCATGGCAAGGGTGACAGGCTTGTGTGCACAGTCATATTTGCTGCCGAATGCCGTGTCGGAATCGGGCGGCCATATTAAACCATACAAAGGACTGCCTGAGGTCATCTTGGTGCACATGGACTTGGAGAGAATGCGCTCCTTGTCCAGGAGCGTGCCATAACTGTCGGTGGTAATCGTAACTACAATGTAGGATAAACCAAGCTGTATCAAGGAGTTCAGCACGAGGAAGAACATCACCACCAAATAATCCTTCACATGAAGTCCACGATGCTGACGACTTTGAAACGAGCGGTAGAGGGGCACAAACACGGCATCAACGTAGAGGTCAGCATCTTCCGGGTTGATCTGCCGCGTCAGGTCTGCGTGAGGAATCTCCAGAACCGACTCTATCCCTTCACTTTCGGAAGACTCCGATTGTTCTGTGGCCTTCCGGCAAAACATACTGTAGCGCAGGCAATTTGAAAAATTAAGGTGCCCTCCCTGCTTGTACAATAGCTTCCGAGCCAGCTGAGGTCCAGTAGTTCACTGCATGATTGAAGTGGGGGGGTGCAGAAGGTTCTCACATGTTCTCACAACCATTGTCTGTGTTTGGGATGCAACGCGCTGTCGACACAACGGCAAATCATTTTGAACCTGCATTTGCACGCCGTGCTCTCCGATCTGACTAGTTCTTGAACTTGCCATCATTTGCCCATCAGGCAGTCGCTGAAGGTGTTTGAAGCGGTTGCAAAAGTCTTGCAAACAAGCACAACGAAAATCGATTCTCGCTGCAAACCTAGCCCAACAATCCGATCTGCAACCTCAGCTGTTGTGGTTTAATCGCACGGCGCGGCAAGGTGACAGCATAAGGCCGTGCTCGGACGACGATGATGGATTAAAGAAAGTTCTCCAAGGGAAAACTGAAATTTTCTCTGTGATCTTTCGAACGCCTGCAGATATATGCACTTCACCATGTGAGCAACTTTACATACCTGGCCATACGTACACTACAAAAGGAAAACAGTTTGGTCCGCAAAAAGAAATACTTATTTCCAAGTCCACAAACGCATGAACAAATTCGTCGTTATTTGGGAATATCAATCAAATATATTTCGTATGAAATGTTCGATCAGACATGTGAGACTGCAATGCATTCACTCGGACCCCTCCTTCATTTTATCGGATAAGCTCGAAGTGCAATGGGGAAAGTCGAAAGTCAAATCGGATGTCTGTCCCAAGGTCAAGCCTCCAAGGCTCGGCCAAGGGCCACGACTCCTAAAGCACAAGTTTCAAGTGCACCCGAACTTCCCCCAGGGTGGGCGGGCGGGACAAAAATTTGCACTCATGTGCTTGAAGGAGCGTGCGCGGGAGACATGTTGACAACTGATCATCAAAGAATAAAGTTCATGAAAACCCAATCGTTAAAAATCAGGTTCAAAAAAGTTTCCCAAAAACCGCCCGAAGTGTTCATGCACGATCGTTTCTCAACGAGACAACAATCGTTGTGAAATTGGAAATAAAGTGAAAATCACAAGTGATGTGGTCACTTATTTCCAAGTCCACAAACGCATGAACAAATTCGTCGTTATTTGGGAATATCAATCAAATATATTTCGTATGAAATGTTCAATCAGACATGTGAGACTGCGATGCATTCACTCGGACCCCTCCTTCATTTTATCGGATAAGCTCGAAGTGCAATGGGGAAAGTCGAAAGTCAAATCGGATGTCTGTCCCAAGGTCAAGCCTCCAAGGCTCGGCCAAGGGCCACGACTCCTAAAGCACAAGTTTCAAGTGCACCCGAACTTCCCCCATCGAAGTGCACTTCAGCTCGTATCCGGAGGCCTTTCAAGCAACAGACTGCCCAAGTCGACGCTGTCCCGCCTTGCACCTTGTTTAATCAAGTGGTCCACGATCTGTCGGCTCGGCGGATCTGCAGGATTCGAGTGAGTAGGCACTCGACCAAACCACGGTCTGGCCAAGTTGTCGTGTTCCAAAGACAATACTCGCTGCAGGAGCCGCCGCCCGTTCCGGGTCCCAGAGCGACCAGCAATCAAAGCAGATTGTGCAGCTTCGTTGTCTAAGTAAAAGGTGCTGAAGGTGTCCTTCAACACGTCTGCCCATAGCATGAACGCCACAAGCACCGCGTAGAGCTCAACTTCATAGATTGGATGCTCGGATTCAGCCTCCAGCACTTCCAAATCAAACATTGGGATCTCCGAACTGAAGAAAGCCAACGGGACGCCAGAGGCATCGTAAATGATTCCTCCGATGCCGGCCACAATCTCAGCGCCAGGTTCATAAGATCCATCAGTAAAAATAAAGAGCTCTCTCCCGGAAGTCTGCCTCAACTCCAAGGGTCTCGAGGTACTGACGTGTTCGAGCAGTGTCCTCACCGCCCATTCCAGATCAGCACTCAGTTCCGATGAACCATCGATTCCCCTGGCCCTTAAGGAAAGCTGGTGCATAGCCTCGCACGGTGCCCGTCCGAACAAGTAAGAAGAATACCAATGCATGCGCCCCCGGAGGACTTCAGCCTCCTTGGGGCTAAGCCTTCCCGTCTGCAAGATGTTCGCGAGAACGTCATTCAACTCCTTCTTTCGATCGCTGGTATGTGTGATGGAGATGACCCCGCTCTCGAATCCCGACAGGTCGAAGGCCAAGCCAAGTGCATTAAAAACTGCATCAAACTTGGTTGCCTTCTTGCCCTCTTTGGCATACTGAATCCCAAGAGCCTCGAACACCTCGTCGGCGAATTCTTCGATCTGTTCCTCCATTCCATCACAAGATAGCAATGGAAAATCATCGAAGTAGGCGCACCAGCCCAAGCCCATGTCCCGGACGCCAGTGTGCCAGACGGCGGCTGACACCCTAAGGAAACCAGCCACACTTCCGGTGGCACCGAAAGGTAGGACATTAGTCCCATAGATCCGCGCTCTCTTGCTGTCCGTGTCGAACACACCAATCCTCAAGTGTTGTCTGTCAAGAGGATGTACTGGGTAGAACTTATAGGCTGAGACGAGATCTATTGTTTTCCCAACCAATTTGAACAAGCGGTCACGTGGCATATTTAACAACTCAAGGAAGACAGCCGCCAGAACGTCGACCCCGTGCAGGGTGAACTTCTCTGGCAGCCCGCAAGCCATGTTCAAGCCACAGTCCTTGCCGTTGTCAATCACCCGTACTTTGTTTTTCTGCTCAAGTCCGAAGCGGTGCGCCAGAACGATGTTGCTGAAGTCAGGGACGGTGTCCTCGAAGATCCAGCCCTTGCGCTCCTCCTCTTGGGTTTCAGCCCACGCCTTCCTAGACGTCTCGTCCGGCTTCGTGTTTGTTATCCGGCTCATAGTCATGGGAGATCGGTAAGACGATTGTGCTAGCAGGCTTTCAAGAGAGGATTCCGGTGCTTTGACTCGAGGCTTGAAGATTCCGGTCTCCCTCATCCATCCTGTTAAGCGGAAGCCATCACGCAAGTCAGCCCAAAGCATCTTGTCAGGGAAACCATTTCGCTCAAGAATGCGCCTCCAAGCAATGACGTTCTTGCCAGCCAGCGCCTTCGCCAAGTACACGGGCTTTTGTTTCATAAGCGCGTCGTTGGTGTCAGCCGACTCCTTGGAAATTTTCTTCCACGCATCCCGAGCCTCTTCAGCCCTTTTCTTGCGCTCCTCTGCTGGCATAACTACGTTGGCAGCGATTTCCTTTGCAGGACCTTGGCGATTGACAAGTATTGCATTGCGAGGGTGCCCCGCTCGGACCGCAGCCTTCACAAAGTCCTCTGGTTCACGTGGAATTCCAATAGTAAGAATTTCTGCCTGGGTCGCACAAGGGTTGTCATCGCACACCATTCCCACCACCTCGTACACGTCGTTTTTATCCTCGCTTGCAAGCAAAGAGAAATCGGCAGTGTCAGGTTGAGAGATCTTGGCCGTCTCTCCCAGCAACTCTGCAGAACTATGTCTGTCAAAGCCAGGATATTTCGAGGCAGCGCAAACCCGGACTGCTCCCCATGGCACCAGTTTGCGTTGCGTCACACGAGCACCTTTGGGGTAGCACTTCAAAAGAGGTGCCGCAGCATCCGCGGAGCGTACAGGTACAGCCCAGCAGTCGTGTGATTGGTAGCATGAAACCAGAGGTCGAGCATATTTTGGCTGTCGCTGCAGTGCGACTTGCTCACAGGCTCGCGGTTGCTGTGAAGTGGAAGCCAATGCAGGAAAACCCTCAGCCAGAATGTAAAGCATCCGTTCGCAAAGAAGCCAAGGGTATGCCGCCTCCTGAGCAGTAGGGAATTGCCAATGCCCATCCACAAAGCGAGGCTTCCAGGATGCATGTTTGTGGTCACGGGAACAGCGTAGTGCCAGCGACTGGAAGCGTGGGTCGGAGCACCAGAATAAGGTAGTTTTGTCGCGATCCCCGCCATGCATGCAAGCATCAAAGATGAGTTGGTAGCTATCTTCACGGCGACAAAGGTGGTCGAGGCCGTCACATAGCCAAGCCAAGCTGTTGAGAGGGTTCTCGACGGTTGCGAAAAGACCCAGCTGCAGGGCGAGGTCAACGATGCAGCCGACAGCTCGATACAACTTGTTGGCAGCGAGTACACGATCGCGGTCGGCACCGGTCAGTGTGGAGAGGCCCTGCGGCTCCGTGACACTGCGTAGTGGTTGAGGCACAGGGCAGCCGTAGTGCTCAGCCTTAGGCAAAGGCCTAGACCGTGCCGCCGAGGCTGTACCACAAGGAGGTGCCAAATGGATCCAAGCAATGTTGTCAGCCTCCAGGTTGATGATGTCAAGCAGCGTCTGCACGTCGGCATCCAACGTAAGGTCCAGTCGTTGTATAGAGAAGTTGGTTCTCTGCGAGGAGCGGTCCACCGCCAAAGTACGAAAGCCCATGCGCCCAGCAACAGTGCTGAGGCGGGCGGTGCCAGCAAAGATTTCGATAACAAGTGGAGCCAGGTTGTTCGGGAAGATCTTCTCAGCCAATGCATCAGCATGTTGATCGGCCGTTGTGGTTGGTGTCGTAGAGTTGGACGACGTTGCTGTAGAATGCACTGGCAAGGCAGGCCGATATGCAACGCGGCGGCGCTTGGTGATGGAAGCTGAGACCTTTGGCGGCAGCTTCGTAGAGGTAGACAAAGAGGGCGAAGAAGTCGTTGAAGTGACCTGGCGAGGAGCGGCAGCAGGTTCTTGGGGAGGGCCGGGCAGTGGAAAACCAGAGTCCCGCAGCCAGTGGCAGTCCCGTTCACAGAGTCGTTGTGTATCACGAACGCAGAAACCCACCACGAGCAGGCGGTCCCCTGCCCAGGGGCATGTAGTGTGGAGACGCTCTGAGGGCAGCCGTTGCGGGCCAGAAGCCACATCAAGCAGGTAACCAAGGCGTTTGGCAGAGAGGTCAGGACACGGATGCTGCCCGCGACCTTCCACCCAAACCTGACCATCCGAAAAATGCGAGGCTGGCAGCAACAGGTTGGC